AGCCATGAAAGTCCCCTATCTCCGCCTTCCAAGGCTGGGATTACAGGTGGGCTCAGGCATCTGTGTGGATTCTGGAGATCTGAACTCTGGTCCTCATGACTGCACATGCTGAGTCATCCCCCCACCCCACCTCCATCTCTTCATTTTTCCTAAGAGCCTCACTATGTTCCCCAGGCTAGCCTTGAACTCAAGGTCCTCCTGTCTTTGGCTTCTAGGCACTAGGATTACAGGCACGCACCCTCACACACAGCTCTTGTTTGTTTGTTTATTTATTTATTTATTATTTTGGTTTTTTCAAGACAGGGTTTCTCTGTGTAGCTTTTCGACTTTCCTGGAACTCACTTGGTAGCCCAGGCTGGCCTCGAACTCACAGAGATCCACCTGGCTCTGCCTCCTGAGTGCTGGGATTAAAGGCATGCGCCACCACCGCCCGGCTTATTTATTTATTTTTTGAGACCGTTTTATATAGCTCAAGATGGCCTCTAACTTGATTTGTAGCTGAGGCTGGCATTGAACTCCTGAACCTAGTACCTGGGCTGGCAGTGCTGATCACAGACACGCACCATCACATCAGTGGTGCTGAGGGTGGAACCCAGGACAAGCACTCAACCACCGACCTACATACTAAACCTAGTTTGGCTTTTTCCTTCTTATTGCTTGTTTGCTTACTTTGAATGCTTGTGTATGCATGGACATGAGTGTAAGTGTGCCATGGTGGGCGTGTGAAGGTCAGAAGACAGTTTGGGGAGCAGGTTCTTTTCTACTATGTGGGATTTAGAGGACTGAATTCAGGTCATCAGATTTGGCATCAAGTTTGGCTCTTTTTGAGACAGGTCTCACCATGTAGCTCAGACTAGTCTGGAGAATTACATCCTCTTGCCTCAGACTCCTGAGTGCTAGGATTACAGATCTGTACCACCACACCTGGCTGCGTCCCTGGGATTCTTCTTCCTGCTCTTCTTCTTTTTTTTAAAGGCTTTTTAAAAATTCCACGCATATGTGTGCGTGTGTGTAAGTGTGTGGATGCCTTCAGAGGCCAGAGGCATACATTTCCCAGAGCTGGAGCTACAGGAGCCACGGGAAGTGGGTACTGAGAACTGAACGCAGATCCTCTGAAAGAGCAGACCGTGAGCAACCCTCCAGTCCCTGGTCCTTAGATTGTGTGGCGTTGGGCTCCAAATCCCCCTAGGGTCCCTCACATCTCTCCCTGGGCCTCCTGGAGGATGATGGATGGACAGAGCCAAGCAAAAAAAAAAAAAAAATGATATGAATTATATGACTACCTGACATTTAAATACACTTTTGAAAGACTGTTTTGTTTGCACTCTGTGGTAGAGTGTATGCTTAACTAGTGCCAGGCCCTGTGTGTGAACAAAAAGCTTTTTAATTGTTTAATGAAAGGTGAACACAAACAATGACACGAGGCAAATGCACAGAGTCCTAAAGCATAAGGCAAACGCTCTTGTAACACTGCTAGCCAGCAGCCACGACCAATGGCCACCACTGGGCAAGAACTTTCAAAGCCACGGGAACTGTTACAGTCTCCAGCGATAAGTTAGGAATCGTTTACCAGATGCTTTGAGGTCTGTGGGGAAGGCAAAGGCACTTTAGCCACCAGCCAAGCAACATTTGTTGAGCACCTATGGTCATGTACAAAGTAGGGGGCCCTACCCCCAACATTTACTTGAAAGAGATGGGAAAGGAGAAAAGAAAGGATCTAGCGTTTACCAAGTACCCTATGCTCTGCATTTTTTTTTATTTTTTTTTACTGTAAGATAAAAAACCAGCACCACTGGGGGCCGGAGAGATGGCTCAGCAGTTAAGAGCACTGGCTGCTCATGCAAGAGACCCAGGTTCAATTCCCAGAACCCGCACGGTGGTTCACAACCGTCTCTAACGCCAGTTCTAGCGGAATCCA